TGCTACAGCTGTAGAGAACTAAACTCTTATTTCTATAGTATAGAAGAGGTATTTTGAAGAAGATGTTGTCTTGTGCTACAAGAGCTTTCCAAGGACGAGAATCAAAAGATCAAAATGAGGTCAATACTTGAAACCTAGTTCTTTTTCTAAAACATTCCTATACTGCAATGCATATACATGCCTATAATACATGTAAAGGTGATATACTGTATGTCATACAATTTCAGTTACTATTTGAAATTCTCTGTAGTTTGAAGGTTTTCTTCGTGTAGAGGGTGGCAGCTGGCAGATTACAGAAAATGCTCAAAGCCCCAAGATACTTAAAGAAAGAAGCAGAGGTGGTAGTGTTTGAAGTTCATATGATCAGTGTTGAAGGCTAATGCATTTGGGAGTGAACACTTTCACAAAGTAAATCTAGGTAATTTATTTTTTATGTGCCTTTACAGATAATGTGCCATGAACAATGGTGGCATTTTAGCATCATAGAATGAATTAGAAAAGCTGAAAGCAAGGAGGGTGTTTTAAACTGCCTGGACAGTTTGTGTGCAGGCTACAGGAGTCGGAATTCATTATCATTAAGTTTAATCAATTTCTCTGGTAATGGTCTGACTGTAGTATGCATGAACCCGTTAAAGCTCTCCCAAAAAATCCATCTGCAGCAAGCTAATAATGTAATGAATCAATATCATAGTGCTATAAATGCAAATACTGAGTTGTGAAATATTAATAACAGCATATCCAACTTTTGCTTGCTTAATAATGATATTTTACTTTGAACATTACATAATGGGTCAGAAACTGTATGCACTAGCACTTCAAATTATACACAAAAAGGTGATTATTCTGAATTCTGAAAACCTAGGTCTTGACCATTATTACCCTAATATTAGTAAAATAGAGAGAAGATAGCACATGCCAAAAAAGGGGCAAGCATCCTCGTAAAGAATGAACTTCTTTTGCTTCAGAAAACGCATGCATAGCTTCCGTATCATTTTATGTGAGACATTTCATAGATTTAGCTGTTAAAGATAGATACTTGGTTTATTGAGACTAGGGGTCCACAGTTTGGCCTTTCAAAAAGGACCTTGCATTTTATGTAATAGTATAATACAATCATCAGAATAATATACAGAAGCTATTTGCCACTGGTTCAGCTCAAACAACTCATTTGTTGAAAGGCAACAAAGTTCAATCATAGTACAGTTTCTATCCTCATATGCTGGATAGTCTGTCAATACTAGAGTTTGTTTTGTTGACAAGGAACATAATTACTGAAGCTGAAATACAAAATCATTGCCTAACAATTAGTGGAAGCTCTCATATCGATAGCTCATATATCCCTCCCCCAGGGCCTAAAAGATATTTAATTGCTTACCTCAAAATTCTGTTGTTTGAATGTCTGACCTACTGGCCTAGATCTACTCAACACATGACACAGACTTTTTTAAAAAAAGTCAAAGTGTGCTGCTTATATACCACATCACAGAGCTTAAAGCACTCTCTGGCCACTTTACAATTTAATTATGCATACTACGCATTGCCTTATCCCCACCCACCAGCAAGCTGGGTACTCAATTTACCAACCTCAGAAGGATGGAAAGTTGAGTGAACCTCGAGCCGGCTACCTGGGACAGAACCCCAGGTCATGAACAGGATTTTGGTTGCAGTTCAAACACTGCACCACAAGGTTCTGTAAGACCATTGGTCATTTAGCTCATCCACAGCAACACCTCTTTTTAATTTTTAAAAACTATTTTTATCCCATCTTTCTCTTTTAAAAGAACCCAGGGTGGCTGAAGATAAAGAGTGTGTTCTACAGATCCAAAGGTCTGCTCATTTGAGTAGGCAGAAAGAGTTGCAGAATGCATCCTAGCAGCTACCCATCTACTGTAAGGCTCTAAACTCTATGAATGATGACAAAATGGAATAATACACACTATTGCTAGTATTGTCAGAGCACGGAAGCATTGCATTAAAGGAACAATAATTCCTGTTACACATTTCCAGTGTTATATTTACAAATTAATGTCCAAAATTGTGTTGCCTAGTTCTGCCAGCAGAAATGATTAAATTTGCAGCAGGATATGGTCACTGCTCAATCAAATCCTGCTTGGATTCTTCATTCTGCATCAGCTGAGTGGCTTGGCACACAACCAGGAATCCAAGTGAGAATTAGTTAATTAGTTGCAGTTTGCCGCTGCAAGTTACATAATTTCCCTTCTGCTAGCATAACTATGTAACAGGATTTTGGCCAGTATGGTAACTGGTAATATCATTATTGCTTTCATGAAACAAATGTTAACTCATAACCTCTGAGCATGGTTTGAAAACAATCATTTGAGGAAATTTCAGAGCATTTTCCTTTTCTGAAATGTTATTAAGAATTAATTAAAATGCATATTAAGAACACATTGCTGATCTGTTACTCACAGTAATAAGCTACAATGAATATGCTGTGGGGGTGTTAAAAAAGAAAGAAATGTGGGATCCACTCTGTGAAAACTTATGCCATAATGCATCTTTTAGTGTTCAAAGGGCCACAAGACTCCACGTCTGTTTTGCTGAAACAAATTAATGTGATTACCCCTCTGTGAACATGGGCACTGGGTCCTCATGTTCAACACAGAAAAATTAAAAGCATAACATCATATCACATAGGGAGTTGAAAAATATGATTTGGCGAGACACATATACAGGATTACTTCTGGCAGCAGTACCATACTTCCCATAACTTCTAGTTCTAGCTTCCAGTATCACTTCCCACACTATTCTTGATTAACTTCCCCAGTACTGCAGACCACCCCTTCACAGATTGCTGCCTCATTGTGGCGAAGGGGCTTGAGTAATTCAGAGAAGCTATGGGCTATGCTATGCAAGGACACCGAAGACGGACCGGTCATAGGGGAGAGTTCTGACTAAACGCGATTCACCTGGAGCAGGAATTGGCAAGCCACTCCAGTATCTCTGCCAAGAAAACCCCATGAACAGAAACAAATAGCTAAAAGATATAACGCTGGAAGATGAGCCCTTCAGGTTGGAAGGCGTCCAACATGCTACTGAGGAAGAGTGGAGGACAAGTATAAGTAGCTCCAGAGCTAATGAAGTGGTTGGGCCAAAGCCGAAAGGACGCTCAGCTGTAGACGTGCCTGGAAGTAAAAAGAAAGTACGATACTGCAAAGAAAAATACTGCATAGGAACCTGGAATGTAAGATCTATGAACCTTGGGAAGCTGGATGTGGTCAAACAGGAGATGGCAAGAATAAACATTGACATCCTGGGTGTCAGTGAACTAATATGGACGGGAATAGGCGAATTCAATTCAGACAATTATCATATCTACTATTGTGGGTAAGAATCCCGTAGAAGAAATGGAGTAGCCCTCATAGTCAACAAAAAACTGTGAAAAGTTGTATTGGGATACAATCTCAAAAATGATAGAATGATGTCAATATGAATCCAAGGCAGACCTTTCAACATCTCAGTAATCCAAGTGTATGCACCAACCACCAATGCTGAGGAGACTGAAATTGAACAATTTTATGAAGATTTACAACACCTTCTATAACTGACACCAAAGAAAGAAGTTCTTCTCATTATAGGGGATTGGAATGCTAAAGTAGGGAGTCAAGAGATAAAAGGAACAACAGGTAAGTTTGGCCTCAGAGTTTAAAACAAGGCAGGGCAAAAGCTAATAGAGTTTTGTCAAGAGAACAAGCTGGTCATCACAAACACTCTTTTCCAACAACACAAGAGGCGACTCTATACATGGAAATCAACAGATGGGCAATACCGAAATCAGATTGATTATATTCTCTGTAGCCAAAGATGGAGAAGCTCTATACAGTCAGCAAAAACAAGACCTGGAGCTGATTGTGGCTCTGATCATCAGCTTCTTATAGCAAAATTCAAGCTTTAGCTGAAGAGAGTAGGAAAAACCATTGCGCTAGTCAAGTATAATCTAAACCAAATCCCTTATGAATACACAGTGGAAGTGAAGAACAGATTTAAGGAACTCGATTTGGTGGACAGAGTGCCAGAAGAACTATGGATGGAGGTTCATAACATTGTACAGGAGGCAGCAATAAAAACCATCCCAAAGAAAAGGAAATGCAAGAAAGCAAAGTGGCTGTCCAACGAGACCTTAGAAATAGCAGAGAGGAGAAGGAAAACAAAATGCAAGGGAGATGGTGAAAGTTACAGAAAATGGAATGCAGACTTCCAAAGAAAAGCAAGGAGAGACAAGAGGACTGTTTTTCAGATTGTTGAGCTTGTTTTATATAACAGAGTTATTCTGATCTTTTAAGTTGTTTGAATCCCATTGCTATTGCAACAAGAGATCCAAAATGGGGCTCAAGCCAGCTTCTGAATGACAAACAGATAGGATCTTCATGACAAACTCTGTTCATCTCTCAGTATTATTTTTTCTGTATTCAAGAATCCTAGTGTGCACCTTTAAAGTGGTCATCTTTATAAAACAACCCCCAATATTTGTTTTCACTATTATTGGTCTCTAAAAGAAACATATCTGTTTATAATTTCTATTATGACTTCAACAAAATTAACAGCTTGCCCTACCCTTAAGTGGCAGGAATCTCTTGTTTCCAAGAGGAAATCCTCCCCTTTCTAGCATCATAAGTAGCCATCCTTCTCTATACATTATTGCCAAGATGCAATCTTGGTGCTTCAGATTTTTTACTGAATTGTTTATATATCCTTGCTTCCTTCCAACTTCTATGCTGTTCTGGCTTCTTCCTCAATTATTCAAAATAATGGTATACTGCATGTTTCCTGAACATCAGATTGCGAAATTTTATCTAGACTGCTATTTATTGCTCCCAAAGCTTCAGAATTCTTTCTGAAACCTGTTATACTCTCTGCCCAACCACATTATATGGTGCCTTTAATAAACTTGCTAAAACAGACATTTTCAGAGAAATATATTCCTAAAGTGCAGTCTCTATGAAGAAGATAAAATAAAATTGTACTTCTGTAGAACTTACACAGTCTTTGGGGTCTATTTCCAATGAAAAATGGGCTGGATTGTTGTTTGAAGGTTTGAGTTCCAGAATTTCATACGTGGGATTAACCAAACGGATATTCTGGCGGACCCATCTATTAAAAAGCACACAAACACAAACTGTCTCTTACTAAATGACTACACAGTATTGGATTGATTCAGGTCCTCCTATTTTTCTAAGATAGGTCTGGCCTGTCTGGAAAAAGTATATAGAGTCATGCATTTATTGTGATGACCTTATGCCATTATTTTTACCATTATCAGCATTGGTTTCTACACAACTTTAATAAACATTTCTTATACAGTGGTGCCTCACTTAAAGAGCGTACCATTTAACGACGAATCCGCATAGCGATCTTCGCATTGCGATGTTTTTACAACAGCTGATCGGCCGTTCCAAAATGGCCGCCGAGTGCCCAAAATGGCCACCACAAGTGTTTTCGCGCCCTGCCCTCGCTTACTGAGGGTGCGAAAATGGCGGCGCTATGGAGGAACTTCACTGAACGGTGAGTTTGGGCCCCATAGGAATGCATTAAACGAAGTTTAATGCGTTCCTATGGGGTTTTTCGATCCGTTTAGCGATGTTTTTGCATAGCGACGATTAATCTGGAACGGATTAACGTCGCTATGCGGGGCACCACTGTACCTGACATCTGAAATCACACATCCTCATGGTCCTCTGACACCTTAAACAGAAAGCTTAAGTATTCTACCAATTAATTCCCTTTCCGAAAAAAGGTAAAAAAAGGTAAAGGTTCTCCTTGACAATTTTTTTGTCCAGTCGTATTCGACTCTAGGGGGCGGTGCTCATACCTGTTTCCAAGCCATAGAGTCAGCATTTTGTCTGAAGACAATCCTCCGTGGTCACATGGCCAGTGCGACTTAGGCACGGAATGCTGTTACCTTCCCACCGAGGTGGTCCCTATTTATCTACTTGCATTTGCATGCTTCCGAACCGCTAGGTTGGCAGGAGCTGGGACAAGTGACGGGCGCTCATTCCGTCACATGGATTCGATCTTACGACTGCTGGTCTTCTGACTCTGCAGTACAGGCTTCTGCGGTTTATCTCACAGCGCCACCACGTCCCGGACCCCTTTCCCCAAACCAAAGCTATATCACCGTTTAAACACAAGTAAAAGTCACTGAATAGGAGTCACTTAATAATTTAAAAGTACTGAAAAATGAAAAGAACTGTGGTATTCGTGGCCTTTGTTTTATTATTTCTAAACCAAAGCCTGTAATGTTTATAATAAATCTATATTTGTTTTCAAGTTTGAGCATGATATAAACAATTATAGCAACAGTTGGACAAAGATGATTAGGCATCCTTCAGTCTCGAGAGACTACGGTAACGTGCTCTGAATAGAGGACTGGGAACAGCATCTAGTGCGGCTGAGAAGGCCAATTCGAGAATGACAATCCCTTCCGCACTGAAGACAAATACAATCTGCCCCCTGTCCAGCTCTCTGGTTTTGCTGATTTCGGGACTGCATCCTTGCCTTGGCATGCTGAACAAGTGTGTCTTCAAATTGGGAGAGGCCATGCAGCACCACCTGTCTCCAGGCTGAATGCTCAGATGTCAAAGTTTCCCATCTGTTGAGGTCCATTCCTGAGGCCTTCAGATCCCGCTTGCAGATATCCTTGTATCACAGCTGTGGTCTCCCTCTGGAATGATTTCCTTGCACTAATTCTCCATACAGGAGATCTTTTGGAATCCGACCATCAGCCATTCTCATGACATGCCCGAGCCAACATAGACATCACTGTTTCAGTAATGTATACATGCTAAATTCCAGCTCATTCTAGGACTACTCTGTTTGGAACTTTGTCCTGCCAGGTGATACAAAAAATGTGTCAGAGACAACGCATATGAAACATACTCAGCTTCCTCTTCGGCTGTGCACAAAGGCTCCAGGACTCACTGCAGTACAGGAGTGTGGTCAGGGCACAGGCTCATTAGACCTGGATCTTGATATATGCCGTCAGCTTCTTATTAAGCCATACTCTCTTTGTGAGTCTAGAGAACATGGTAGCTACTTTGCCGATGCGTTTATCCAGCTCAACATCTAGGGAGATAGTGTCCAAGATCGTTGAGCCAAAGTACACAAGGTCATAAACAGCCTCCAATTCTTGTGTGGAGATGGTAATAGATGGAGGTGAGTCCATGCCCTGGCCCATGACTTATGCTTTCTTCAGGCTAATTGTTAATCCAAAGTCTTGGCAGGCCTTACTAAAGCGATTCATGAGTTGTTGGAGGTATTCAGCAGAGCGGGCAACAACAGCTGCGTCATTGGAAAAGAGGAAGTCCTGCATGCATTTCAGCTGGATTTTGGTCTTTGCTCTCAATCTAGAGAGATTAAAGAGCTTTCCATCTGATCTAGTCCGGAGATAGACACCTTCTGTTGCAGTTCCAAAAGCGTGCTTCAGCATGACGGCAAAAAAGATCCCAAACAGGCTCAGTGCAAGGACAGAGCCCTGTTTCACTCCACTTCAGATGTCAATAGGATCTGATGCTGAGCCATCAAAAACTACAATGGCCTTCATTTCCTCATGAGAGGACCTGATGATGTTAAGGAGCCGAGGTGGACATCCAATCTTGGGGAGTATTTTTAAAAGACCACCCCTGCTAACCAAATCAAAGGCCTTTGTAAGATCTATGATGGCCACAAAGATCTATGAGTCGCTGTCGTTGTTCCCTACATTTCTCCTGCAACTGTCTGAGGGAAAATACCATGTCAGTGGTGGATCTATTAGCTTGAAATTCACAGTGTGATTCTGGATAGACTCTGTCTGCAAGCACCTGGAGTCTCTTCAGCACAACACAGGTAAGCACCTTCCCTACAACACTTAGAAGAGAGATGCCATGGTAGTTATTGCAGTCGCCCATGTCTCCTTTGTTCTTATACAATGTGATGATGTTTGAATCCTTCATGTCCTGTATATATACTGTGTATATTGCAGATACCCTGTCTCATTTTCAGGATGCAAGATTTTGCAAGTTGGCTTCTTGTGAGTGAGTGAGAATGACACTGGAACTGTTTTCAACTGAGCTGTGGAAACTTGAGAACAAACCAGAATTAAGAAAGTTTACAGGAATCCTTTAGAGAGCACTTGTACCAATTTGCCTCAAGCCAGGGGGTGACATAGCTCACTCATTTGGGATCAGTGAAGCTCTGGATGCAGCTGAGTTAGGCCTATCCAGTCAGTGCATTATGGCAACTGGGAAGTAGCAATCTGAGGTGTATAAATCATATATTTGTTTGGGAATATTCACTTACAAGTAGACTCTTTGATTTCTCTCTGATTGCAGGTTCAAGGAGTTCAGTCTGGATATGTGGCCACAGCATTGTTCACTGCGCAAGTGTTTACTCCACAGCTACAGGATATAGACCCATCTGGGTCTGCAGAACAAGTTTTGGATCTCTGGCTGGTTTGGAATGGAATGAGCTGGCATGCACAGTTGTGCTTGCTGAAGAAGAAGAAGGTGAAGGGCCATCAACCAGACATGGTGGTACAACAACTGGGAAAGAACAATACAGTGGTGCCTCGCAGAACGGTCGCTCCGTAGAGCGACGAATCCGCGCAACGGTGCCGTTTTTGCGATAGCAAAAGCGATCGCAAAACGGCACCTAGATTCGCTTACCGACCTTCGTTTTGCGACCCGCTGATCAGCTGGTCGGCGGGTCTAAAATGGCCACCGCGCGACCCCAAAATGGCCACACGCAGCGTTTTCGCGCCCTTGGTAAGCGAGGGGAGGGCGTGAAAACGCTGCCGGAACAGCCAAAATGGTTGCGCGCAGCGTCTTGCTTACCAAGGGCACGAAAACGCTGCAGCCGGCCATTTTGGCTGTTCCGGCGGCCATTTTGGACCCACCGGACAGCTGATCGCAGCCATTTTCACGCCCTCGTTCAGCGAGGGGAGGGTGCGAAAATGGCTGCCAGCCGCCCGGAAGCATCGTTGGACAGTGAGTATTCAGCCTAATTGGAACGCATTAAACACTGTTTAATGTGTTCCAATTGGTTTTCTTGCCCCGTTCAACGATGCTTTCACACAGCGAGGGTTAATCTGGAACGGATTAACCTCGCTGTGCGAGGCACCACTGTATAGTGGTAGGAAAGAGCTTTGATGTCTACTGAAAGGCCAAGGTGGATTTGGAGGACTAAAAGCTCAGTTTCCCAGTACTGTTGTGGTTTCGTCTGACTGGCTTGAGAGGAACCAATGATGATGGGCCCGGATCCAAAGAAGGTGAACACTACAAGAAGGAAGATAACTAGTAGAGATGGGGACGAATATAAAAATGGATCGGCTTTTTTTGACAAAAATAGCCGATTCGTCAAGTATTCATCCCTTCGTATATGTGGGCTCCAGAGACCCTCACGGATACGAAGGGATGAATATTTACCTGTTTTTATTCCTCCTTTGTATTAACAAAAATCTGCCTACTGGCTGCCAATCAACTGCCACCCAGCCCCCACAGCCACCCATCCCCACTGTCTATCCCCACCTCTTCCTCTCCTTACCTTAGCATCCCCACCAACACCCCCTTACCTTAATCACAGCTGTATTTAAGCACAGGACCCATTTCAAATCTGATTTCAAAAACACAGAAAGATTGCCCCTCCCTGCAACTTTAATGTGCCTGCAGTTCTAATTACGGTCTATCTGTAACATCTCAGTCCAGCCAAAGAAATACATATATTTATACACACCTACAGTCCATAAAAGCTGTAAAACATTTTACAGCTCAATAAAACTAGATAAAAATTAATGATAACCAAACCATAAATGATGAGGCCTGTTTTTCTTTTCAGTACAAGTAACTGCAAAGACATACTTATAAGTAGCTAACTCCCTCAATAGCATTTGATTTACAGCCACAAAATTTGATTTAGAGCCACAAAATTGCAGTTCTTCTTGCTGCTGTTGTAACTTTAAGCATTCAGACAAGATGACTGTTCTGTGCCTTCTGTGTAAAATAGGCTCTCCCACCCTGTTTAACTCCCACTTTTTATCCACATGTGTTAACTATCCTTTCCATTTTTATAGTCTTTGTACTTACGATTAAAGCATGATGATAAATCTTTACACTTCAATAAATATTAGAATATTTTTATATTACTGAAAAACAGGAGCCTAAAACCTCTCAGAGAAAATAATCAGCCTATTCAGCACTCAACAATCCATATTTTTAAATGCTAAGAGAGTTTTTGAGAATATGTGGACAAATGATATAGCCTTTTAAAAAATTATCCAAATAAAAGGTCATCCGGTATCACACATTGGATTTCTTCTAACTCCGTTTTTAATTTCATAATGATTTCAATTAATACAAATATTGTTGTTAATCATGCACTGTTCATAACAGGGTGCAATAGAAGAAGATGCAGGATGGAACAGGATATGGAAAAAAATCATTGTGAGACAGCATGGTGTTGAACCTGACTGCATTTTCACATGTTTTGCCATCTTCTGAAAAACAATATAGCTGCATTATCCCCTCAGGAGAAGAAGGAAGTAACTAGCTTACTTCAATCTCCTTATCCCCATTAGTTCATCCAAGAACAGTCCAGGGTTAATGGAAGGAAAATGTATTGACCACATGATTTTAGCTGCTGTCATGACTGCAGCATTCATAAGATGTTATAAGTTGTAACACTGGGAAATCTTCACCATGAGAACAGCAGAATTCTTTCAGAGCATTTTGAAGCACCAATGATTCTCTCTTATGAAGGGATAATGGAAAATACTTGAGACCCATTCTCTCAATCTATATCACCTCACTTATTTTCTTGTATCTAGTGCACTCCACAGACAGTTATGGAGCAGCCTTCATCCTTTTAAGTGGAATGTTCAAGGAGATATCAAATATTTTTCTTTCTCAATTGGAGAGACTGTGCAGCAGCAATTGATGAACCAGAATTGCCAACGTATCTTTCTATTTCTAATACTGTTTTTTTAAAAATGTATTCATTAAGTGATCAGTTTCCATGACCTCAAGTGCTGCTTTAAACTGAACCACGCTTTGACCAAGAATGGACAGCTAAGCAATACTTAAGGCGAAACCATTCTGCTCCTCAGGCTGTCAACCAAGCCAAGCAAATGATCTCTTTGGCTGCTGCTACCCATTGTCCTGGCAATCGTCTTTGAAGCCTTCTGTTCTAAAACTCTCTGCTATCCAGAATGAATTAAAAACAGCATGGCAAAAGATAATGGACTGTATTACTATTATATTTGATACAAATTAGTATAATATAAAATTATAGCTAAAATCCATTTAAGCTGATATATTTGAAAGAGGGCAAAGAACAAGTCCTATACTCACTTTCCAAGCTCGCACTCTACTTCAGGCATTGTTGTTGGCCGAAGTTTCTGTGCGTTCAGTTTCAGGGCATACCAAAACTCTCCAGCTTTCTCTGACAGGAATATAATGCTGAAATGAGAGGTTTAAAGAAGCTACAACTCACTTTGCTATACTTATTACAATAATAAAGGAGACAAAGCAAGTGAGAAGATAAAAGAGGTCAACAAAATGAATTTTTCTATTATGTTCCCAGTAACTCCTGTACATCTTATTATCCTGCCAAAGATACATTTTCAAAAATTGTATGCATTCATAATATTTGTACAAGAAATAATTCACAGCTTTAAAAACTGTACATTTAATAAATTACTTCTGACTTAGGCACAAGAAGAATGCCTGATATCTTACATGTTCTGTATTAAATATAGACTACCTACCAACGACATTTCAATTCCTATTGGAGTTTCAAATATTAGATCACGTTCTGTGAAATTATATTTATTCATTTGATTAATGAACATGGGCTTTGTAAAGCAGTTTTTAAATACTACCAGTGAGCATGTTGTGCAAAAGCTCCCTTTTCACTCTTCCTCTGAACAGCTAAACAATATAACATGGGTCTGGGGGGGGGGGTGTTGGTCTTTTCATGAGAGGCTTCTGTTTTTGTGATCATATTTTGACATTTCTTCATTTTTTAAAAATACACTGTATGGCTCAAAAAATTGAAGTAGCCCAGCCTCTCTTAACCTCAGAGGCCATGCTTATGCATGTCCTCTTAATTTCAGAACCATGACACATTGCACATGGAAGGTTGCTTGCTGTTCATAAGAAACATGCCTAAAGCCCCAATGCATATGAACAACCAGTTTTCCTATTTTTTAAACATGCTGGCCACTGTCATTTTCCCCTAATGTGAAAGCATACATCCGAATAAATTTCTTTGGGGTGCATAAGACTTTTTGTTCTTGGTTATTTTGAAGAAAACACACCGAATTTTTACATTCATCCTTTCACTCACCTCATTTTTAACATTAAAATGTATTTTTTTCCTCAAAATAAAAACTTTTTAAATACTTATGTTTGTTGTTAGGAAATGTTTTTGAGGCTGCTATTTTAAATATATCTGTGAGAGTTATCCAATAGACTAAGAATGTCATCCTTATCAAGCTGGGTTTTTTTCTTATTATTATTATTCTTTGCCTCTTTCCATAAGATAAATAGAGCAAGCATGCACAGCATAAGAATGTAGTGTTGGTTATTCATCCCTACTTCCCCAGAGATCAAGGAAGTAAGACTGATTATTGTTTTCATGCTGAAGTTATTATCTTGCTTGTTTCTGAGTAAGGGGTGTGTATCAATTTCACTGATGAAGGAAAGTTTATTGAGTCTGCTATTAAATATTGTTGGCTATGCTTAGTTAAGACATTTTTACGTGCCAGAGACCAACAGCATGTTGAATTAACCCACTCTCAAGTCTTGAGAAGGACCAGAATTAAAAGAAATGGAAGAAGGGAGTCACTTGTAATGATCTTCTTCACTATTGTTTTTAAAATAATAAATTGTTTTTATCAATATTATTATTTGCCATAATGTGGATTTGAACTTACTGTGACCTTTCTCAGAGTTTTCTAGGTAACAAGTACTCAGAAGTGGTTTACTATCCTGTTCTTTTCGTAACACTCTTTAACTCTGCAGCTATATTAAGGATACACAGGCTGGCTCTTCTTCTGAGAGGCACATTGAATTTCTGACCCTTGGCTTCCCAGCCAAGTGCTCCAACCACCTGGGTCATCCAGTCAGCTCAGGTTTTAGAATGCTTAGGAGAAAATACAGTTTGGTTACTGTTGGAAAGAATCAAGCAATAAGTTATGTGTGTTTTGTTAAGGGTACTTCCAACCCATACTTTGAGCACCAGTGTAGACACTTCTTCATTCAGGGGTATTAATAACAATGTTATATCAAGTGTTATAATGTTCTAGGGACCTTTTTCTCTTGGTTTCTACACCAACCATGTCTTTGTTTCTGATTACAATTGAGAACCCATATTGTTATCAGAAATGTCCCTAGGATATTTGTGTTGGTTGGAGCACTTGGCTACCAAGTCAGGGGTCAGGATTATGTATTTCTTGTTTTATATATTTTTCTAAAATCATTTTGGCCTATATCCAACCTTCATGAAGGAAAACTATATCCTAGTGGATTTCATGTGGCTTTTCCAGATGCAAAAGGCACACTGCATTTCTCCTTGTGGCCCCCCTAAGTATGTCATCCACTGTGCCCCTAAGTATGCCACTGATTGTACAAATGCTTGTAGAAATGGTGCCACAACTGGTTGTGCAGTCAGTTGACTGGACAACTAATTCTGCAATGAGCTGCACAGCTGGCAGTGCAACCACCTGTACAACTGGAAACTGCTGGATCCTATCAATTCACACAGTCCAGAAGAGCACACATGTTTGAGCAGCAGTACCTTTCCCTGGAGCAGGGTAGGTCAGCACACCCCTTGCCATGACATTCTTCCTTGGAAACAGGGGTACCGCCTTCCAATGCATCCTTCATCTACGCAGGCCCAGGGCAACTGGCAGTTTCAGAAATGTGTGCTTTTCTAGCAGGAAGAAGGAAAGCAACCTCCCTACAGCTGCTCCTTCCCTAGTCAAAGAAGGAACTAGGTTGGCTTCCTCGTTGTCATGGTGTATTAGATAGGGCTTTCTATTTGACATTTAACTGAATAATAGGTAATTAACCAACAAAGAGTCTGGCAGAGTTCAGGGTTCCACCTGGTTTAGCTAAGCCATGAAAAGACATTGTAACATCAAAACTAAAAGACTGGCAGTCTTATCGCTTCCAGTTATTATACTGAATACTTACTCATGTTTTGTAATTGGACATCATTAATTTCACCATTATCTGTATTTGTGAAGTTGCAGCTCATTTTAATTCATATAAAAATGAAATGAAAGTTGTGGATCACATCATTAATAGTAAATAACGAACGCAAAATAAATTAGTTATCAGTTTGAATTGCCTAGCTGAAGCAGTAGTGTTAACACTGAACATACAGCATGAAAAAGAAAAATCATTGGCTGCTGAAAGTGACTAAAACCTTTCATTCATAAGTCAGTTGCACTGTTGGTAGTATCAGGTTTATGAAAATTATGTTTCATAATAAGAAGGGCAATACAACCATTAAAAAAATAATTATTACTAAATTACAAGAAATTTGTCAGCTCTTTCAGGACTATATACGCTAGCATATACACACAGTGTATCTCACCTTCCATCTGAGTTGCCAGTAACAGCTGGAGAGTACTTTACTTCATAGTGAAATGTTTCTTTTGGCTGAAGAACAAGTTTGCTTTCACCGGTAAGTACAGCAGCATCTTTCAGCACCACATCTAATGGCAAAATGTCATTTGTGGGATTAGTTATAGGAATTCCAATAACAGTGGTCTCCTAGAAAAAGAAGAAAGACAGAAACTATGTTTTCCCTTTACCAAAGATGAGAACAAAATCATGTTTATTTCAATTGCTTTCTGGCATGCACTTCGTAAATCATTTAATAATAATGAAGCTGTCCAGTTAACTACTAGGTTTTTACTCAAGATGCTGCTTCTTACGTACAAAGCCCTGAATGGTTAGGGATCAGGATACTTGAAACGTAAACTCCTCCCATATGTACCCACCCGTAATATGCCATCTTCCTTAGAGGGCCAGGGAGGGAGTAGCCATTGTTTATAAATCCAGCTTGGAGGTTACTAGGCACTCCTCAGTGGTAAAGCCGGGTCTAGAAGCACTCCACGTGTCGATTGGGGCAAGGGATGGTATTGGGATTTTGCTGGGTTACCACGCTCCCCGTGACCCAGCCACTTCCCTTCCAGAGCTGGTCAACTTTGTCTCCGCGGCATTGTTGGGATCCCCGAGGCTTTTGGTCTTGGGTGATTTCAATGTGCATGCGGGGGCAGAGGCTACTGGGCCAGCTCTTGAGTTCCTGGAAATCATGGCTTCCTTCAACATGTCCCAACATGTCAACGGTCCCACCCACGTGGGTGGCCACACATTGGACCTGGCTTTTTCCACCAGTTGGAGTGAGTGTGGTCTGATGGTGACTGACCTCATGTCGGTCCCGTTGTCATGGTCAGATCACCACCTGAGCTGGGTATCGGTGGCTTGGCTCTGGCCTGGTTCTATTCCTTCTTGGAGGACCACCCCCAGAGAGTGCAGCTTGGGGAGAGTATTTCGGCCCCGTGGAGTCTCAAATGTGGGGTTCCACAGGGGTCGACTATTTCCCCAATGTTGTTTAACATCTATATGAGGCCGCTGGGCGGGATCATCAGGGGGTGTGGAGCATCGTGTCATCAATATGCTGATGACACCCAACTCTACATCGCCTTTTCACCAACTGCAGGTCATACCATCCTGTCCCTCCAGCGCTGCCTGGGGGCCGTACTGCGATGGATGTAGGAGAACAGGCTGAGGCTGAACCCAAACAAGACGGAAGTTCTGAGAGTGGGTGGCCCTGTGGATGGTGGCTTGGGAAACTCCCTCATGTTTGGTGGGATGGCCCTGGCCACGAAGAGTGGGGTCCGCAGCCTGGGGGTACACCTGGACCCGACGCTCACCATAGAAACGCAGGTGGTGTCAGTAGTCCGCACCGCCTTTTTCCACCTTTGGCGGATTGCCTGGCTGCGACCTTACCTAGACACGGGGGCGCTAACTACCTTAGTAAATGCACTTGTAATCTCTAAATTACACTACTGTAACGTGCTCTACATGGGGCTCCCTTTGAAGCTGATGCAGAAACTTCAGGTGGTGCAGAATGCGGCGGCCAGACTCCTTATTGGAGTGAGAAAATACCAACATATATCTCCTACTCTGGCCATGCTGCACTGGCTGCCCATCCATTTCCGCATTGACTTCAAAGTGTTAATGCTTACATATAAGGCCCTAAACGGTTTAGGACCCCGATACTTGGCAGAATGCCTGCTCCCACCTAGATCTACTCGGATCACCCCCACGAGCCAGGAGGTGAGGCTGAGGAGCCTAACGCCGAGGGAGGACCGGAAGGAAAGGACACGAAACCGGGCCTTCTCGGCGGTGGCTCCTCGCCTCTGGAATAACCTTCCTCTGGTGATTCGTGCGACCCCTACGCTGGGCACTTTTAAGAGTCAACTAAATACATGGTTGTATGTTCAGGCCTTCCCTCCTGTCAATATTTAATTCTTTCTTTATTTTTTCTTTCATTTATTATTTGTTTTATGTGTTATGGACTGTTTGTAAAATCCTTATGTTTTATTGTATACACCTTATTGGAAGCCGCCCAATAAATATAAATAAATAAATAAATAAAGAAAGAAAGAAAGAAAGAAAGAAAGAAAGAACGATGTTCCACAGCACCTATGTTGGTGGAGACATCAAGGGGAAAGGGGGAAATGAGAGGAACAAAAAGAGAGAAAGTTCTCTGGGTTTCTACATTTACCAACACAGAAAGGCCATATATGTTAGAAAATGCATAATCCCTGAATACAGGTCCTTTTTAAAATAGCACCCCATATGTATAGAACTTCTTCCCTCATTAGGGCAAATTGGTGTAATCTTTCTTCACCTATAATAAAACTTTGTTTCTGTAGAAAGAACATTTTATTTAGGTTTGCCTTCTCAAGAATTTAATAGTTTTATTCTAGATGATTTAAAGACTGACTGGTCTATTCTTAATCTCATTCTTTGGAATAGGCTTCTTTTAAAGTTACATACAGTATCATCTTGGAAGTCCTTTTCAATAAAAAGACAAGTCATATATGTTTTATGTAATGAATACACAAATTTCTCAGTAATGATGATTTGCCTGAGCCACCATATGAACATTATGGCTGAAAAAAATTGAAACTTGGTTGCCCACATTTATGTTCACTATTCATATAATTATATCATATATAATTTAATATTAATATTCATGTTTAAATTATCACACCATTGCTTTACACATACAACAGGCACTTAGAAAATAAGAAGTGCATGTGTTTTCAAGAAAGTGTTTCATACATCAATGATCAGGCAGCCAAGATTTAATAATCAATGTGCTTTAAGGATTTATATTCTACTGTCTGCATAAATCTCAAGACTTCTAATAACATAATAATAAAAACTGTAAATATTATTGTGCATGTTGATGTGCTACCAGATAATGACTAAAATCTTGTTTTCAAAGGTAAATTGCCATTAGTTAAGAAACTTCCATAGACATTATCTGTTGCACACCAAGGCACATAACTCAGCATGTAATAAGGTCTATAGAAATTTCTTAATTTATGGCAATACACCACTAAAAATACTCCTTTTGCGTAACAGTGGAACAGCATTTTAGCCAATGTGATAAACAGCCATTACTGGTAGATAATTCCACAACCAGGAGGTAAATCAGGGTTTTACCTCACACAGTGGAATAAACTACTCTTCAATTTCTGTTCTCAATCCTTTCATCAACTTGCATTAACTTGCAAGTCAACTTGCAACTTCCTCCACAACTCATTACACTCTATTAATATCTGCTTTTGACACATAAGCTTCAAAGGAAAGATACAACCATTTTGATGAGATGCTGCTATCAACGAATAAAACACTAAGAGAGTTGGGGTTGGTTTATAGCAAACATTTTACTGAAGTATGGTACAAAGAAAAGGATATGTGATGTAAATAAATTGGGGTAATGAGAAAGTTTATGCACAAAATATATTGAATCACAAAGGAGATATATATCTTTGTCTACTACTCTTCACAAGGCCCCCTTCATTTACATCTCCCCCCCCCAAAAAAACAGTTTGAACTAAATATGTATGGAAATGTTTAATGTTTTACAGATGGTAGAGTTATATCCATTTAAATCATTCAGTGGCCTTGCATCAATAAGATACATTAAGTTTGCCATAAAGCACTTTAAAACTGAGATTAATCATCTAACTGCTGTAAACAAAATTTAAAGTCTCATTACTATCTTGGCACTATGGGTTTCCTAACAAAGCCTCATAGAGGTAACCTAGGCTGAACTGAGAAACAATTCATTTTTCAAAAAGAAATCCTCTTTTATTAACAAGCGCCTTGGCAACAGTCAAAATATCTAATATACTGTAAAATGTAGCATTATACATTTGCTGGAATTGTCCTCTTTTTTCATGCATAAGTACTTTCAGCAATATTAGCACTCAGCAATGAGATCCTGACCCTTGTTCTGGAATCAGAAAGCAACAAGACTCATAACAACAAGAGTTTAGAAACATCAGTTTCTTCTGACTCCATGATGGAAGACAAAATATTCTAGCCAAGGGAAGCAAATTATGAAGACTTGGGAGATACAGGACCCCATCAGTATGAAAAATTCTACAAGTCTTGTTAAAAATCCTTTGCGTCTCTCAAAATTCCTCTAATGTTTAACCCAAGCAACACCTCTCAAATCACCTTGAAATATTGTTTCAGACAAAGTCTGATGCCAAGTTTTGTCCATTACTTAAAAATCTGTGCCAATCCCTGGACTCCCAACACAATATCCTACACCAGTGCTTCCAGGTTCAAACAACAGTGCAGCATCTTTCAGACCAAAATAATTTAGAATGTTTCTAGGATGACTTGGTAGCACTTACAAATCTCATTCTTTTGAAATTTATGACTAAAAGTGCCACACTATAACCAGACTTCTGGAGTCCAAATGATGTATTTAGTCAGCTGGGCAATTCTTCCTTTAACAAAGATTGATTGTTGGTGTGAAATGATTTTCATTGAGACCACCATTGCAGCAATGTGGAGAAAGGAGAGAATGAAGCAACAGAAGCATGACAGTATTTGAAAAGGTAAAGGCTGAACTTATATTGAGTTGATCCCTAGAGAGCAGAGACAGAACAGAGAGCAGAGAATGCCTGGAGCAATCCATGCAGGTCACAAAAGTTATTAAATAGCTGCACAATGGGTCCCCTATGCCTGGGAAAACTGCAAATGTTGTTCCACAGTGGTAACAACAACAACAAAAACAAAAACAACAACAACAACAATTGATGATTTGAACGCTGGAGAAAATGAAAATTTATTGAACAGAGAAAACAGAGGATATTTTGAGCACACCACCATGCCATAAATAGGGAGCATCCATTCCACAGAAAGTGCCCAGTATGGAAGTAACCAATGAAACAGCCTTACTAACAACTTGCATTAAAAGTATGTGTGTTTCTGAGCCAGGCTTTGCCCTTTGGAGATATAGGCTACATTCTTCTAATTTTGCTATTTTCTAACCGGAATAAATAAGTCTTAGGTAATTGGTGCAGTAGAGCTGTTTCATATATTTATCTATTTCTGAAGCAATCAGAGAATTTCTGAACTGCGTTTGAGAAGTTCTGTGCATACATTAATTAGAGAACTGCTTCAAAGGACTGCTGTGGTCTATACAAGTTTTTTTAATATCCTTGCATCGG